GTAAAAATCTTGTAATGTGTTTTTAAAATAGCATGCTTTCAATTCTCTTATGTATATGGCTTTGGAAGTACTGGATCAGGTATCAAAATGTCATGCCTATTAGAAAAGTGCTCCAGGGAGTTTTGTGGTAGGCCCCAAAAAAGTTATTAGGATAACTGAAAAGAAAAAATGGTCATATAATCTTATTTCTGCTGAAAGGAAAACCAGTAGCATCTAACTCCTTTTTTATCGTCTTCTTTCCTGCTTTCATTGAAGAGAGCAGTTTTAAGCTTTGAAAGACTCTGGAGACACACAAGCCATGTTTGAGAGTGTTCGTAATCTTGAAGTAAATACCAGATCAGGGAAGTAAACCCCAAGTAATCCCAAGGAGAGAGCACTTTCAGTTCTGAACTGGCATTTGCTTACCCCTGTCTGTATGGAAGGGAAAAACCTCTGCTGCTTGGATAAAGTAGTCTTTGGCAGGATTTGTCCAGGTGGACCTTATTCCTGTGTCTACAGTAGAAGTAATGTCTCTTAAGTTTCATGATGCTTTCTTTATTCTCTCTCTCCTATTTTCAATGAAATCTACAAATTTCCTGCATTTTGTGTTGCAAGATGTTTCCAAAGGCAGACTGGTTTTCTTTCCAGCTGAGCCTGCAGGCAAGGCAGACTTGAGCAATATGCTCTAAGAAAAAGTGTGAATTTTCTCATATGTTTCAGTCAGCGTTAATGACTAAGACTAATTAGGACAACTTGAAGCCAAAATTACTGTGTTTCTCTTTGAGACAAATTATTGGAGACATCCATCGGCCGTACTTGGGTATAAGTGGCATTCCAAGTTCAAATCTGCTTGAAGAGTTTAGAATTGGAAGTGAGGAAGTTTAAATCTTAACTCAGAACTATTTAATTTTTAATTTAATTCAATTTCAAAGAAGGAAAAATAAAAATCTACCACATATTAATAAGTCTGTAATCTAATAAATGAAGGAGATAATGTATTTCTAATTATTATTCGTTTTGATTCTAATTTGAAGAGCATTATGGGTAACATTAAGTCTGTATTTTAGACAGAAAATGCTATATTAAATACCATTCTATATTTTTTGCTATTTTAAGTGTTACATGTATGCAGGATTTCTTTTACCTTTCTCTTGCAGATGTAACATTTCTACTCCTAGAAATCTGCATAGCCTAAAACATAGGTCAGTTCTTTTTGAATCCTAGTATACTCTTATTTTCTTTGTATATAAAAAGGCCTGGGTCTGCTGCCTTTGTTGGACTGACTTTGTGCTGCATCAGATTCAGCTTCTAGGTAAGGCTCTGTACAAAGGTCAGTTTTCTTGAATGTTACAAAGCCAGCAGCCTCAAGCTAAGGAATTATCTGTACAAGAGGAGATGCATTTATTTCTTCTGTGCATTTCCTTCCCTACTTTGCCTGAGAGTCTCTTCCCATTCTTCTGCTGCATGTTCTCCAAAAGCAGGACTCCAACCTGCACTTTGTCTCATTATATATGTGTATGTTTGAGACTCCAGCTCCATTAGGTCATATACCTCTCTTTGCTTTCTTGTCATTGCTTTGACACACTCAGGTGGCTGTATATCCTTATTTCCATTGCAGGGCAAAAGGAAGCAGCCCCTGCTATGCAGCATAGCCAGATGTACCCAATTTGTAGAGGCTTTTGATGCAGGTGTCTGATGTGCCATGAGAGAAGACAGGAGGCAGAGCTGAAAGAAGCTGATACTGTACCTGGCTCAGGCAAAAAGTTGACAGGTTGTGGGCATATCACAATTTGGAAATGAGTAGTGTTGCAATGTCACTATCTCCAGTGTTGCAACATTTGTGGGCACTGAGGTGTTTGGTAGGAAGACTGTGATTCCTTCCGCTTGAAAGGGGTTGTGTGGCCTTCTATCTTCCTCTTTAACATGTCCCACCTCTTGAGCAACATCAAGAGATAACAGCCAATGAAATGTTTCTCTCTGCATTATAGGATTTTTGAGGAAGTGCAGGGAGGAAGGAGGATCTTTCATCTTGCATGCAAAAATGTTACCCCCACATAACTTAGCAGCATGATTAATCAGGTAACAAGCATGTAACTTTATCATAGAATCAGAGAATATCCTGAGTTGGAAGGTACCTACAAGGATCATCGAAGTCCCACTCCTGGCCCTGCACAGGACAGCCCGTGTGTGTGTTCTCTGACCACCATCAGCATCTTGTGAATAGCTCTTAAATTGTTGGTCCACTTCAACCAGCTGACAGTTTTGGCAAGTCTTACAGAGAGCCGTGTTCTGTAACTGCAGTGAAAGTAGGTGTCTGCATAAAGGCAAGAAGCTGTGTGGCATGAGCCTGTGCTCTGAGACAGGAGGGTGGGTACATGGTGGGACAGGGACTCGCTAGGAGGCAGGAAGGCTTCAGCAAGATTTCCTGCCTTTCTAGGAGTCCTGGCAGTAACTATGTAATAAATAGGGAACTGTTTATTCTTTGGTGCAGAAAAAATACATTTTTCTCATGGACGGGTGTGACTGTAGGATTGTATAATTTGTGTTGGGCTGCAAATGCAAGAAGTGAGGAAGTCTGATCCCAAATAGGGAGGAATATTCAAGTTGCAGGTAGGGATATTTTTATTTGGATATGTGGAGAAAGAACTTCTACCATTTTTGAGAGCTGTTGCACCATTGGAAGCTCTCTTCCTGTCTGTGGTGTAGTATATAGAGTCAAATACATGCATTCAAAGTGTGCTTAATAAATAATAAGTTCTGGCTTTTACCAAATCACAGTAACCTAGTGTAGCCTTCAAACTGGCTTTGCCAGTTGTAGAGCAATTTTTTTTTTAACTTTTAAATGATCCCAGTGTGAATTCACGTACTAGCTGACAAATCTCAGAGAAATAGGTTCTCTCTAGGTTAGGACAAAAGAAATAAGAAGAATCTATCTGTTTTGCTTTTTGGCAAAACACCAAAAGAATCTTTTAATTAGACCAATTTCATTCTGTCTATCTGCCATGAACCTGACTTGATGGGAGGTGATCCTCTAATGAGGGAATTAAATGTTTATTTCTGGTAGCCCACAGCCTGTGACATGTGACATATTGCTGGGTGTGTGAGAGCTCTCAGCCAGTTCCCAAGAACTTCTCCTTTACCTCTCCCATCTTTGCTCTACTGTTCCTTCCTGAATATCACTTTTCTGATTTCTCTGTTTGTGATATTTTGACTTTGGAAAAATTTTATGAATTGATAGACACAGTTTCTCTGTGGTGTTGTATTTGGGTCTGTAAATACACAGCCACTTGCTCACTCTTCCTGCCCCCACCCTGGTAGGATGGGGGAGAGAATTGGAAGTGTAAAAATCAAAAAACTCACGGTTTGGGATAAAAACAGTTTAAGAATTGAAAAGAAGAAAAATATTATCAGAGAAGTGATAAATAAGAACCAAGAAAGGCTGCATATGAAAACAGTTGGTCACCATCAGCTGGCTATTGCCTGAGCAGCAGCCCCCCAAACCAGCCTTCCCCCTAGTTTCATTGCNATCGGGGCTCAGCCTTTCCTTAGCTGGACCTCGCAGCGGATGACAAAAGCTGAGCTTAACCTACATAATCCGTTTCCATGTTCTGGGCTTTCTCTTCCGTCCTCGATTCGTGTTAGCGTCCCTTTAAGCAGAGTGTGTTGGAAGCGTGTTGCTCTTGGTGCTTTTTCGTTTCAAATTCAGACCGGAACAAATAGGTCGAGTCTTGGTTTGGGTTCTTTTTTGGTTTTTTTTTGGTTTTTTTCCTTTCTGCCTTTTTTTTCTCCGCTACTTCTCTGTCTTTGGTTTAATTAGAGCCTAGTTCCTGTAGGCTGGCAGGGATGCGTTGAAATGTAAATGCTTGGAGTTAGGTTGTTCCAGGGGAAGACACCTCTGTGCAAGCGATGGGCTGACTTCCCCCGTCACGGCTGTCAAACTGGCAGAGCAAAACCGGTGAATTGGCTGCAGAGCCGTGTGAGCATTGCTTTTGGGCAGGTAAGGCAAAGTACCGGCTCCTCAGAATGCCTTTTTCAGGATTTGAAAATACTACGGGCTGTATCACCTGTCTTAGCCTGGCAGGGCTTCTGCAAATATTTTGTCATGCTTTGATTTATTGAAGCAATTGATCACAAGTGGAGGTCTGTGGTTTGGCTCTGCCATTGCAAGTGCAAAGTAGTGCTGTTGGAGTAATTTCTCTCCTTTAAGAAATTTGGATTTATGTTTTATTTTTTGCAAAGGATGACTGTATAATGTGTATACAGTTAGCTGACATATTTAAATGGTGAGATTGTTTTGCTTACGACTGACAGGGTTTTTCTTGCAAACACAAGAGCTGCTAAGACATTCTCAGCAGCTGCCTGAATCTCTACAAGTAGGCTAATGTTCATCCCTATAAGGTGAAAGAAGGCATTGTTCTTTTTTTCTGTACTGTGATTAAGTTATGAATTCCTATGTATAACACATTTGCCTTGTTGAAGCATTTTAAAAAATTATTTAGTGCTTCCTGCAAAAGAATGGAGTTACATTATCTTTGTACTACAGCCTGCAAAGATAGTGGGTATTCTGAACAATAGGTGTGGAGATTTCAGTTAATTTGATGGAAACTGCAGGAATTTAGGGTGTTTCAGTTCTTTATTATTTGTCTTTGGGACAAGAACATTAAAAGGTTATGTCACGATGTTCTCTGACACTAATTTCAGACCATTACAAATGTTGTTGGTATTAATTTTTCACTTGTTTCAGAAAACTTTAGATTGTGACATTTGATATATTGTTTTCCCTTTATTTGGGTTCAAATGAAGTGTTTTAGAACGTGTTGAACTTATCAGCAATTCCAGTGAATTAATCCAATTCACTGGATTAATGTTTTGCGTTGCTTGTTTGTCAGAATTGTCCGTCAGACTTGAGAACAAATTTTTGTGTATTGCTTCTAGTTCTTCCCCTATCCCATCTTTTCTTTTGAACTTGTATTAACCCTGAGTATTTAAATGTATGTTTCTCTGTAAGAAATAGAAGTGTAAGGTAGAAAAACTGGTATCTAATTTGAGATAAGATAAACTAACAGAAAGTGATGATTAATTAGAAGGCAAGTAGGTTGAGGTTTAACCTTGAAGGATGATGTGTGCATTATAATTTCCAACAGAAGAGTGCCCTCCTTCATCTGTCCTACTGGGAAACAGTTGAGAAGCTGTTTTGTGTGGTTTGTAATCTGTCTGAAGATGTGGAAGTTAATTAGCTCCACGCAGGTATTTTTATTGAAGGAATTACAGCTACTAAGATCCTGTGCTATTGTTACTGCCATGTTAGATGTTTCTTCTGTAAGGAAGCTGTTCGTGGGAAAAGTATTTTTTAGCAGGACAGTAGCGTCCTACTAGGAAGCAGGAGTTTAGACACTTATTTCTTAATCTGAAGGAACCCTTATTCTGCCAAGACATGTTTCATACTTCAGTAGCAGCTATTTGATGTAGATTCTAATTGTTGTGGGAGTATAACAGTTAATGGCTTCATAATTTTTGGTAAACAGTATTTTTATACTAAAAAGCTTCTGTTTTGCTAGTTGTACTTTAGTTATCTATGAATATGGGTATTTAAAAGTCTTACTTTTGAAAATCAGACAGTTGAAAATCATACAATTCCTTTACAAAGCTAGGTGCTTACTGAGCTGTTTACACAAGGGAATTATCAGGTTTTTTTGTAATAGATGCAAATTAATTCTGGTTATCTTAAAATGTAACAGGCAAGGACACTTCTGGAGCATATTTAATTTGTGACCTTCAGTTTTATTCTTTCTTCTCATTTCCAAATGGTACTTGCTTTTTGGTTCAATAGGAGTGCCTGTCCTGAAAAAAAAATTTGCTGTCTTGCTGTTTGCATCCCACTGAGATTTTTTTTTGTTTTAGACAGGTGCTCCTTGTACAGTCAGTGAATTTAATGACAAAGGTTGCTACTCATGCAAAATAATTTCAGCTCCTTACAGTCTCAGTGCCTGTCCTGAAAAATTAAATTGCTGTTTTTGAAATGTATATGATTGACTTAAGCCTTTCAGTCTTCTTGTACATGTGACTACAGCAGTTACTCATGTGCTGTAAGAATTTAACTGCAGTGAAGGGCATACAGCATTTTAATCCCTTTGCTTATTTATCTAGACCAGCCTTTGAAATGCATACTTGGTAAATAACTTTTTAAAACTGTGAAAGTGCTCATCTAGATATGGCTAGGCCATGTGTGTCCAACAGATGCTTATGGAAAGTGAAACAAGCACTCTTTGAAATGAAGTAACACATATATTTATTACTTTTAGTAAACCATGCCACCTCTAGTCAAGCTTCTTTCCACTGTCCATTATTGCCTATTGGTAATGTTGGACATCAAAAGGATTTTATTTGGCCTCCCTAAAAATAGTAGCCTGCACTCCTCTGCACCTGGAGCCCTGGCAGTGTGATTTTCCCTGCAATCCTTGTGCCTCACTGGCAGTGTGACACACGTGGGTCTGAAAGATTATTTAATGATGTCACAAGCAAAGTGTCAGCAGCAATAAGGTCCCAGCACATTGTAAGGCTGGTGGGGCACTGCCTTTTTGGGATGCATGTGGGCTTCACAGGCAGCTTCCTATCTCAAGGTGGAGAGGGTGGGGCTGATGACACTCGTTTTCATCCTTTGAGGTGGAGGAAGAGACAGATGTCCGGTGCTTTTGTTTCTGTAACAAGTTTTCTTGCTCTGCTATTGGAGATGTGCAGCCAGGGATGGTACAGCTTTGGAAGCATCTTGAAAATGCAGGATTATCTTTACAGGCTAGGCAAGGCAATAAGTGGTGAGTTACTCCAAGTGAAGATTTTAAATTGGTTACCAGTTATAAGTGTATAAATGTGTTTGTATGTGGTGCATTATGAAGATCGTTCATCCAGACTTAAAATGTAGGGTTCCAGCTGCAAGACAGGCTGCTAGAATGGCCTCTCCTGTCTTTCACAGATCACTATGGGGTCAAATGACATTCTGTGTTTGAGTGATGGTGAACAGGAACTACTTCCTTTCAAAAACGTCTTTTTTTTTCTACTCCCTCCAGGCAACTCACTTTTATGGATATAGCATCCACTCTTTTAGTGTGTGTAGAACACTTTTATCTTAAATGCTTGGCAAGAAAAGAATGATGGATGTAAGGGTGTATTATAGTGTTGGTTTGGAGGTTAGCAGTTATTCTGATCTCCTGTATGTTACACTTTAACTGACTGAATATTGACTTGTGGTTGCAGTAATTCTTTGCTTTTAAAATTTTAGTTAAGGGAAGCAGTTACTACTTTAATCATTTGGAGAATAATGCATTTGTTTTACAGAATAAAGATGTAGTAAAAAGCAGCCTGAGCCATTCTGTCTGCCCTGGGGGAGGTGGTGAAGGAAGTGCTAGTAGGAAGATAGCACCTGTAGATTCTCCAAATAATGTCCAGAATTAATATCAATCATATATTGATATGATATAGAGTGCAAAGTTATTTATGCTAAGATTTTAACCAGGCACTTAATACCTGTTAAAGAGGCCATGTGTTTCAAAATATGGTGCATGGTGGTAGGAATAGCTGAAAGGCTCCTAAATTGCATGACTTCAGGTTGTAGCGAGAGGTGATCATCTACCATTGTTGAAAACAAAGCCTGTTTGTTGTAGACAAGGAGAAGAGAGATAATAAGATTCTTGTTCAGTATCAACTGCTTTGTCTTCTGTACTCTTTGGATGCTTGTCTTTAACATACAACTTGCCTGTGTTTTAATACTTAGAGAGTTAAACTAATTGTCATTTCCTGTGCTGGTGGTTCTTTGGCTGAAAAAGTGCTGACTTGGTTGTAGTTTTCAGCAATCTCTTGGGTGGCCAAGTATGTCTTAGAATTGTACACTGACAATGAAACGGTCTCATTGTGGTTGTGATTAGCTTTAAAACACACTCAGGCGTATTCACTGTGATTCAAAAAGTGGCTTTCTTACTGGCTTTTGCCACGGGTTAGCCTTGGCTCACTACTCACTACTGCTTGCTGTTCTCAATCCTCAGTGAGACAGGAGAGAAAATAGGATGGAAAAGCTCATGTTGAGATGAAGACAGAGATTGCTTGCCAGCTGCTGTCGCAGGCAGAACAGATTTGGCCGTGGTGTCAGTCCATGTCGACTCCTTTTCACTTCTTTTCTCCGTCCTCGTGCTGTTGCCCTGCTCCAGCCTGGTCCTTCTAGGCCCTTACAGGGTACCTCTGCTCGGAGCTCCTGCTCCTCCTCCTCTGCTCCTGCTCTTGCCTCTGCTTTCTCAGGACTGCTCCTCACACTCTTGTTCTCCCTGACTCATTGCTCTTTCTGAACAAATGCTTTCCCTGAGGCACTGCCGTCATGGCAGTGGGGGCTCAGCTGAACCCTGCTGTGGCTGCCTGGAGCCGTCTGGGACCGGCTGTGTCCATTGCCTGGCAGCCCCAGACACTCCTCATGCAGGCCCCCCTGCAGCCCCCCCAGCTCTGGGCAGCTGCACTCCATAAAACTTCCCCAGGAGAAAGCCATTATATTTTGATATTTCTTTTCTGGAATAATACTAAATATAGTGTCCTGAAGTTTATTCCTGCCAACACTGAGGGAAGGTGTACTGAAGTATAATAAGTTCTAGCTCTTGCCCTAGGCTCCTACATGCAGTTTCTTGCTGTCTTGGGCAAGTTGAGGAGGCACTGAATGTGGCCAGTGGGACACTGCAGATCAGCTGCAGAGGCCTAGAAGTGGATGGCTGGAGAAGAACTTGCAGCAGAGAATAACTCATATTGCTATAATATAACTCAAATATGCTCCCAAGTGTGTTAGTCCTGATGATGTGTCAGGATGTCTCATATTCCCAGAAACTGCTGACCCCTGTGGAATTGCCCCTGAGGATGCTAGCTTTCCCTGGGCACTGTGCTCGAACAGAAAGAAAAGAGAGAATTTTTTTTTCCTTTTGAGAATTTTTTATTCTTTTTCTTTAAAGGTGTGATAGTCTCTGAAAT